TTTACAAACCCCCCCCCCCACAGCCTCTGCCTAGGGAAAGGGCAGCTGACATCATTCTCCTCTCCCCTATGAGGTATGTTATGCAACTGAAAATCCCAACTGCCTTGCGGGGGGGGGGGAGAGTTTGAGGTGTGGAATGAAGTGAAGTCCAATCAGCTTCCATATGCAAATGACCTTGGAACGCTGGGCGGGACTGCACAAAGCAGCCAGTCAACCCAGCCAGTGTCTTCTGAGTGGCAGTTCTTCTGGCCAAACACTAAAGGCGGGCATTTTAGAACGTTGGTCCCCACTATTCAATTATTATAAGGGAGAGATTCTTACTTTCTTCAACCTTTGACTAGGGGGGGGGGGCTCTGCAACTTACCTGGCTGCTTCTTGCTCTGACTGAGGGATGCTGGGAGCAGGGGGTGGGGCTTGTTGCATGTGCCCGCCCCCTGGGCTCTTTACTGCCAGAGCTCTGCTCCTGTGCGCTCCTGCAGGAAATGACCCCTGGGGTATTTATTGTAGGGAGGGGAAGGGAAAGGAGACTGTAAACCACTCCTTTGGGTAGTGAAGGGTGGGGTATAAATCCAATCTCTTCTCTCTTCTTCTTCTGTTATTCAGCTTTATTCTTTACAATCATCCCTGAAGAAAAAGGCGTTTTACAGTCCCCTCCCCCTTTTCGGCCTCACAACTGCCGTTTATATTTTCGTGTGTTTTATCCGATTGGTTATCTTGTAAGTCTGGTCACCCTTCCCCAGGCCACTGGGATGGGCAGTAAAATATCCAGATTGTTGTTTTTTTTAACCATCTTGTACGGCCTTCTAGGTCAGCCTGGGCCCCAACAAGATGGTCGTGGACCTGACGGACGCCAACCGGCCTCGCTTCACGCTGCAGGAGCTGAGGGAGGTGCTCCAGGAACGCAACCAGTTGAAGGCCCAGCTGATGGTGGCGCAGGAAGAGCTGCAGTGCTACAAAAGGTCTGGGGGGGGGACACACACACACATGACATAATGCTCCCTCAGAGCTGGTTTTCACCGCCATTCGCCTAGGACAGCAGGAGGGTGTCTCGACAGACTGTGCAAAATGTGTGGTTTCCCAGGCGGGATCAGGAGTTTTGCCATGCGTCCTTCATTAGACAGGCGGGGAGAGGTGACTCAGCGACTCTGGTTGTTAACTCTCTCCGTATTGATGTGCCCAGAGGGACCAGGCGCCACGGAAAAGTCTGCTTCCTGCACCAAACGCAGCTCCAAATAAGGGGATTACGGGGGGGGGGGGGGGAAAGAACA